GAAAAGACAAAACCTAAAGTAATCATGACGGCCAATCAGAAGAAGGGAGTATACCACATAGAGCCAATGAAAACGCAGTGAAAAGGCGAGCAAAGCGTTAGTTTTGCATTTGATTGAGAGTATATATGGTGCGAGTTTTCTTAACCAATCACAGGGCAAAGAAAAGCATAACCAATGCAATCCGGATTATTATCGACTCTAAATTGAGAATTTCTCTTATCTTTGTTTCTTCTCGTCTCTTTTTGCTTGTTTTGAGTTTTATTACTCGCCAATAAATTGAAAGTAATTTGAACTGGGCAAAAATGACTTGAAATGCGGGGACTAAAAGGAATTGTTTAGTTGATACTCTCATACAAATTGAGATAAATTTGACTGGAAATACTCGAACAGAGAGTTTCTCACTTAATCAAACTGGTCTGATGAGTTAAGACTTCAATTCCAGTGAGTTCCTGTGAGTATTATCCTAAAATAAATAGTAATCTGTCTTGCTTGTCGCTTGCGCTTAATAACAAAGCTTGTTAAATCAGAATCCCACTGTTTCTGTATATTTCTAAGGGGAAACGTGGACGACGGGCTACATTTTCTGGCTCTCTGTTCCTAAAGGAAATATTGTTGATTTTATGTTAATCTGTGCCTGTTGAAGACGCTTCATTTTTGTTTTATTGGATCACACGCGGGTAGCGCGTCTAAATACAACCGGCGTAACCAAAGGGAAATGAAAACGTAAGACCGCTAACTCACCGAAAGAAGCCCAAACCAACTTTGTTCCGAATTTGAGAAAAAGGGCTGAATTTTTCCTAGTTGCCGACATGCAAATTGAATGAAAGCCCAACAAATAGCGGTTTTGGATGTGGTAAACAAAAGGATAGCTAGATCAATATCGTGTGTTTTTTATCATTATTTATTTTTCATCACAAACTAAAATAGCAGGTACCTCTGTCAAAAGCGAAAATCAACAAGGAATGAAAACAAATTAACGTTTTCAGTTTCAATCTCGCAGGCAGAAATATTACACAAATTGTGTTTTTGGTCTCTGAGAGTCACTCTACACTTTGTTTACCTGTAATCGATTTTATAAAGCGCATTTGCATTATTTCCGAAGGGCGAGAGTCTCCTCTTTGGAGATCGGAGCATATGGAGCGTCCAGTCTCAATCCTATTAATTAACAGACCTCAAATTTAAGTTACAGGTCCACAGTGACAGGAACAAAAACCAGTTTTATTCGTTTCTCATTGTTAACGCTGTGTTGAACGCTTTCTTTTCTTTCACAGCCGTAACGTTGAACATTTCTACGTAATAAGGAAGCTTCATCCTTTTCAAAGACATAAAAAAACGTTGCTGCTGAGTCTTGCTGTTTCTGACCTTGGTGTTGGGTTATTGTTACAACCCAGTTTTACGTCGCTGAGCTAGCCAAGGCTCTACAATGAGCAAAAACACGTCAGGCGATTCTGCGTCCACTGGGCGCCATATTATTAATTTTACAGGTAAAGTAAAGTTTATCTTGTATGCTTCGTCTGTCAGTATTACTGCTCTCGGTGTAGACAAACAGATTCTCAGCCATTCGTCTTCATCTCAGATATCAGGAACTCGTAACTCACAAGCGCATTGTTGTTGGTGTCTTGTCGGATATGGGGGTGTAGTGCTTTGTTTTCAGTGATAAGGATCTTTTGGGTCGACATGTGTCTCGTCTCTGACTGCTGTTTACTGTAGAATTTATTTCGTAGCGCTGCGCCACAGACCAAATTCAAGCTTTACAAGTACCACAAATTTCACAAGATGGTGAAATGGTAGTGAACGATGTAAAGCAGAGGAAAACCGCTACTAGCACGTTCTATGTTTTCATATTATTTTTTATTCGCTACCTGCCCAACTATTGCAATTTTGTAGCGTATGTATCCCTCTGTCGACCAAATGCCACTTTAAAGCTATTTTATTTGTACAGTTGTTCACTGTTGTACCTTACTTCACCTCTAAATTCTGTCATTTACTGCTGGAAGATGATACAAGTGCGCCGTGGCACCGTAAGGACTCTGCAAAATATTTTTCTCCGTCGGAACTGGACGGAAGGTTCATATGGAACTTCGAAGCTGCCTTGTCTGAATCCGTCTCAGTTGTCTTGGAATAATCGTTATGATGAAGAACAAAAATAAGTTTAACATTCCGATGAAAAGAAACGTGCAAAAGAAATTCAATGTTTAAATACGATATTGTCAGTAAATGACCATGAATTTGACTATTTTGTTCAGTGTGATGATTCGTTTTGAGTTTGCTTTTTTAGGCACTTGTTTCTTTTTGAATTTAAAGTGTAACTAAACCGTTTCAATTGAGAACAAGTGTCTTATCCGAATAGACCTTGCTTGCCGTTAATTCGTTAGGATAGCAACTCAGAGTTGGACACCCTTCTTCTTTCGCTACTGGTATGGAAATTAATTATGTGAAAATTCAACATAATTTTTTTAGGGGGAACAGCTGATATGTATTCAATATGAGGAATTTCCTTTTTTTCGTCTTACTTTTTTCTCCCATAACAAAAAAGAAGAAAAAAACCGCAAATATCCGCAGTTCTTTTGTTTTGACAAATCTACAATGATAGTGAGACATGTTGATGGTGTCCTGTCTCGTGAAGGATCTTATTAACTGTCAGGGCAACCCACAATTTATATCGAACTGATATCCGAATATACCGAAGGAAATGAACTATAAAATTAGTTACGATTATTACTATTACTCCTTAAATTATGAATTATTTCTTTTCGCTTCGACGAACTGTTAGTCGAAAGACTTGTTACCAGAACAGTATCATGAATGTCTTCAGCGTCGAATAAAAATGCATGTGAAAAAACAGTTTGAAATTCTTGTCTCTTTAACCCTTTAACTCCCAAGGATCTGATTGTAAATTCTCCCCTCTAGCTGCTACATATTTCCTTGTAAAATAGCTGCATGCAAGAATTTGGTGTTAGATCAAGATAACAACTTTAACCTGATAAGTTTGAATATTCTCATTACCTGTTTGCAGGTTAATGTATGGATATTATAGGGAGAAATCACATGCTAATCACTTCTAGGAGTTAAAAGGTTAATCAAGTCTGTACTCATTTCATAGGATCTTCCACAGAACGCCTTTAACACGACACAATAACATCGCAGAGATTATTTGACATTTTTTAACCTTTCCGTCAAAGGAAACTAACCTAAAAATACCATCGCAATATGGCAAAGAAGTAAAACGTTTCTTTAAATGTTTTTTGCAAAATATTAGTTTAAGTGCAAAAACCCAGATATAGACAGAGAATTAAAACGAGCTTGCTTGCTTTGTCAATTTGATTACAAGCATTATGCAAAAATACTCTGTAGGAACCGGTATGACTCTTTAGAATCACTCGCTGAGATGAAAAGACAACGATGAATATAATAAAAGAGAAAAAGAAGAAAACACATGGGCATGTCTATGACTGTACTGCGCAGTCTGTTTTAAAATTTATCAACAACTCGGAACTGCACAGACGAAGATCCCATTTAGGAATTGAGAAGCCAAGTCATGGTTGGTGCATCTTGAAAAATTTGGCGAAGAATTTTCAACCAAGTTCGAAATTTTATGACCGTTTCATTATTTTCCATCCTTGCCCCACCACAGTTTAAGAAATGCTTCTCGTGTGTTTTTCTTTACCGTTTATCTAATGGTTTTTAGCATTCTCTAAGTTTAAGATTTCTCTGCCTAATGTGAAACATTACTTCTAATAGAGTCTCAATGGAATGAAGGCTTACAGTTAAACTTCAGGCCATTTTACGGCTAAAACTAAACTTCCTTCCTTTGTTATTAAAAGAAAATATTTTACGGTTAACATTTGACGGCTAGCCGTTTTACTGCTACCGGTTAACCTCATTGAGACCGTCCTGAGATAGTTACAAGGGACCTTAAGCAACCCAGGACGGCGACACCAACGAGAACGTAGCAAAAAAAAAAAAATATCTAAGGAGCAGAACAATAGCTCAGCACGTGCGTTTTAAAACTATGTACATTTCTAAGCCGTCCTCAGAAAAATAACGTGAAATCATCAAAATTTGTGTGGTCTGAGAAAGGAAACCCCGACGACAAATTATTTAAGTTTCCATTTGGAATTCAACGTCGCCCTCGTTCGTTGTGCTGAGGTTAACTTGTGGCGCCGTAAGAGATGGTAAGCACATCCAGTCATTCGCGAAATTCCAACTAAAAATACATATTCATTTTTAAATAGACATCTTCCTTAGCGTTGCCGTCCTAACTTCTAAAGATCCCTATTGTCGTTTGAAACTGAATTTCGATCCATTTACGACTTTCTCCCTGCTATTCCTTTTGCTTTTCGGGTCCAATCTCTGTAGTTTTCCTTTTTTTATTGTTGTGCCATCCGCTCCGATACTTTTCTTCCATCTGATTGGCTGGTGAAAGAAACAAGTCACCAAAGAAGACAGAGGGGGAGGAGTTTCTGCGCAAACTCAGATGAACGGAGCCTGTTAATCTTCAGTACCGTCGACAAAAGGGTCAGCGGTTGGGGATCCTAGTTGGTAGAGGACCGCAAACAACGTCTACGCATGTGCAAACGTTGTAATGACCAGGTTAAGTGCTTTCAAGCAGTCAGAACTGTGTTTCCTCACACGTGTTACCAACAACCACAAAAGCCAGGAAGTCACGGCATTTAAGAGGCGTCTAACCTCTTCGTCAAAGCTCAAAATAGACAGGATACCCGCCCTGAAATATGCTTTGAATCTGAAAGTCTCAAGTTTTCCTTCCCCCTACTTTTTTTCTTTCACAGATTTCTATGAAAGTTTCAATTCTGTTTCGTTTATTTTGTGAGGCAGCGGTTGCTTCTTGTGTATCCCTTTAAAATATCGCGCGGGAAATTGGCGCGCGGCCGGCCAGAAATGATCTCCTCGCGCATGCCCGACGTTTGACCGCTGTGTTTGCTGGGAGTTAGCGCGCTTTCTGCAACTTAATCATAGTCACTGACTACGATAAAACAATCTCATTAAAAAAATGTTTATTGAACACACACAGTCAAGCAAGACTGCGAACAGGTCTATAAATATGCCATAAATACAATTTAAATACACATCTTTCTTAAAATTTCTTATTTTGTTTGTAAATTGTTAAAGGCTGGAAACCACTACAGAAATTCAAAACGTGAAATCAAGTTTTCAAAGGCGTAGTACAAAATAATTGGCGGGAAAATTTCAAATCTATCTTGTAAGCATTAATTAAACAGTTTTAGACACCATGCGCAGAATTGCTACACTAAGCCATTAGTCAAGGTCTCGTTCAGCGCGATGTAAGTACAAGGTACACTTTGAAAAGCGCTTAGCCAATGACTTTAATCGAGGTTATTCTGTTGAGAAAAATTAGAACCTTATCAATCCTAGGAGTTGGAGGGTTAAACTTTAAAACCCTGTCACTCCCAAGATCTAAATAACCATGGTTTCAGCTCTGAAAATTTGTTATCAAATCAAGAGATATACACTGGTTGGTATTTTCTTTTTCTTCTTATCACCTTACTGCTTGTAAATGTTTCAATCCTTCGAAGGAAAATTCCGTTTTGGTCACTCTTCAGAGTGAAAGAGTTAATGGAATAAGGGAATTGGGGTTACTGTAGCAACCGCTCTCTTGGATGTCACGCAACACTCGCCCTAAAGTCGCTCTGCATGACATTTCCAAAAAGAAAGCTGGAACGGAGACCACTAAAAATATGTTGAGTTATTTTTTCCGAAACAAAAATAAACTAATTCAAGAAAGTTTGCAATTTCTCTATCATTAGTGTACGTTACTGCTAATTTCAAATTTAAGAAATTTGACAATGCAATGTTACAAATCTCAAAAATACGCAAATCTTGCCTGCGATACAGCCCAAACTCTATTTACAAAGCTTTTCCCAATTTTTTTTTCTGTAATTGATAATTTAACTAATTCGTTTTGTTGAAGTACTTGCCGTGAGAGAAATTAGACAACTTGTACGTTAAACAACTACACCAAAAACCAGAATTACCCGATTTTCTGACCGCCTCTTTTTAGTTTTGAAAAGAGGAAAGTAATCCCCTTAAAGTACTAAAGAACGAAGTACTCAGTAGAATTATAAAGTAATTTAGGGAATCTTTTTGTCATTGCTTTTCAAATTACACTTCAACAACATTTCAACAATACTTTGAATATGTAAAAACTAAAGTTTCTCAGGAAAAAAAAAACCGAAAAAATTTCTCTTAATGCCGTGCAATATTGTTACTGATGAAAGCGATACAATGAAAACTTAAATATCAAAGCTTCTGGCCATTTATTTTTCCCCCGAAAGAAACGTTAGTTGTTTTTTTCCATGCCCTGCACTCGCCTTTATCTCATATATCTTCCACTCTTGTCAAGCTTAAGAATTTTCGCAAGACGCTGTTTTGTCGTGGTTACAGCCTTTTGACGTCCTCTTTTACCCGGGACTGCACAGGAAGTAAAAGTGAATGACAGTCAAAACAGTGGTGGGGGGGGGGTGGGGTGGGTGGGAACGGCTCGGATCCCCATCCCCGAAAAAATCTATCTAATCCACCTTGAGACTCTGTAATATTTTCTTAGGACCCCCGGCCCCCACAATGTCAGTCAGTTTTCTGCCCCCCCCCCATACTCTTTTGGCGTCGACTGATCCTTCCCCCTTCCCCTAAAAACCATGTGATCCTTGCAAAATCGTCCACCCACCCGCATAATGAATGACCCCTTATCGCTTAGTGTGTGATTCGGAGGTAATATTGTAGGGAGAAATTACATGCTAGTCCCCCCTAAAGGTTTAAAGGGTTACAGGAGCGCAGTGGTGGATCCAGGGGAAGGATCAGGGTGGGGGGGGCGGATGAGACCCCCGAGCACAGAGTCCTTTTGGGTTTTTACGACTTGTCTGACAAAAGAGTTACTACAACGATGTGATGGCAAATTACTACTAAAAATTAAGTGTTCAAAATTTACCTGTTTTAAAAGATTTCTTAGCTTACAAAGGCAGCAAACGTAAAAAGATTGTTTTTTTTTTCAAATAAAACTTTGGATGCCCTCCACCCCTCCACCCCTTCACTACAGGTCTGATGACGCAACAAAGAGGAGGACATGACCGTAGATATTAACCAGCCTCACCTTTTGCGTTGCTATCAGGTTTTGAATTGCTCGGTGTTGGATCTGGTACTGAGCCTTTTTCACTTCCGTTGAGCGCTCCTGAATTATTTCCGCTTGAGCTTCCTCGGTCACTTCCCTTGGCACTTCCAACGGAAGGAGAAGGTCCCTGTAAACGAAAGATCGAGAGAATGAGACTTACAAAGTGTGACTACCATAGCCTCACCGCAATCCCAAACTAAACCCTCTTTTCAATAAATGTGCTTTTGCCAGGCAGAAGGTTTGGCTCAAAGCTTGAGCCTACATCAATAATCCAAAAGTTAAGGAAAAAGTAAGAACTGAAACTGTTTAACCCTATTACACCATCACATCAGTATGCATATTATCCGTACCGTTCTCTCTACATTTCCTTAGGTTCTGAAAAGGAAAATTTGTTGAACAATCGATAGCTTTCTTAGTTTGTGGTCATTTCCCTTATTCTCGTGACATCAATGTGTGATTCAGGGGTGATATTGTAAGGAGAAATTAGACACTGGTCACCATTTGGGGTCAAAGGGTTAACACAAAAATCGATATAAACTCGAGTCTCTCAAAACCAAAGAATTGGCATAATGCAATCGACAATTATACAATGCCACAAACGTTCAATTTTTCACAAGAATGACACTACTTAAGAAGGACATACATTGAAAAATTTCCTAGGTAACAAATTAAAAAAAAAAAATGGAAAGTACGTTAATAATGGTCCCACTCGCCTCAGGAGCGCTTTCTTCTACTGGTGAATTCAGCAAACTACCGGTGGTAGTTCGTCTGGATTTCGGACGAACTGGCCTCTCTTCCCGCGATGGCGAACAATGCAGTTTACCTGTTGAGCAAAACATGGCCATTTTTTCCAATCTTGTTTGTTTACTTGAACGTGACATTACGTGACCGATGTTTTAGCTGTGTGTGACCAAGGCAAAACCTGCGCACTGCTCAAGTACAACTGAACTCAACACAGCTAAGACATCAGTTAAACAAAAACTTTGTGTTACTTACTTTTCGGATTCCACGTCGAGTCAACTTTTTCGCTCTTTTTCTTTCGTTGGCCGGGCTTCCATGAATTATTTTTGTCTTCCTCTGTCATCTCAGCGAGCGGTGGATATACTGCGCAGAAAATAAGAAAAACATTCAGGAACTCATCACAAGGAGTCTGAGAGAAAGTGACAACAAGTAATGTGCCCAGAGCGCCGGAAAATTTGCCCCTGATTGGTTGAGAGAAAGGCGCGATTTTTTTGGCCAATCATAAACAAGGAGTCCACGAGACAGTGATAACAAGTAAACTGCCCGCAAGAAAACGCAGGTTACCAAGTCGTGATTGGTTTCAAAGTTGCATCTGATTGGTTGAGAAAAAGGCTCGAGTTTACCGGAACAATCATAAACAAGGAGTCAATAGGAAAGTGGTAACAAGTTAACTACCAAGAGCATGGGAAGACGCGGGTGATCAAGTCACGATTAGTTTTAAATTTGTATCTGATTGGTAGAGAAAAAAGGCGCAAATTTTGTGGACCAATCAAAGATCTTGGATTACTTTAAATACTCGATTAAAAACTGCTCTTTCTCTTGACCAAAATTTTGTCAGATTGATGCACTTAAAGCATGAGGTGCTCATCAGTAACGTAGAATTGTTTTCTTTGTTTGCCTGATTGCATTCAAGGTTTTCGCCATCACGAACTCTAGTTTATTTCCTCACCGTATTTACTGTCATGGAAATATTCTGGGTCTCCAAATCCAAGATCTTCGTCTTCGCCCTCCGAGTTACTCTCGCCTCCCGCTCGCTTGGAGTTCAACTTGGAAGTACTGTGTGCTACAGTGGAATGCGAAGACTGGGCACTAGCTGATTTTCGTGCGGTACTGGGGATAGATTGGGCGGATGAAGATCCGAGTGAACTGACACCAGCGCCAGCACTGAGACCGAACAAGAGGGTTTTGGCCGCTTCTATTTCCTCCCTGATGAAAGGACCAAATTTTTTTTTAATCAACGTCACGCTTTCAAAAGCTCGACCTTCATTTGTTCTACAGACATGACGTAACCTAATGACATCAACGTGACATCATGTACCGACCCAAGCTCTCTCGACCTAATTGAAAAGGGATTTTGTCTCGAGCTAATTTTACTGCGTATGCCAACTCTTACTTAAGATCAGTTGCCGAAGTCCAGTCCAAACCGGCCACAGGTTGTTGAGTTCGGGGAACTGATCCGGTGGCCTGGAGCCCAAAAGTGGTCGCCAGGCTTCCATGTGTCGTTCTTAACTGTGCAGGGACGAAGCTGGGAGTTCCCCCGAGACTGAAGTTAAGTTCATTATCTGAGGTGTCGCTGCTACTCTCTGTCGTGTGGGTGGGGTAGGAAGGGGCGTTCTTGTTGGGCATGTTGTTCACTGTAGATTAATTAGAGGAAGATTAGTAAGTGGATTGTAAATTGCATGTAACGGTAGATATACAATTCAGTTGATGCTGAGATCTTTTCCGTGGCAAATTCGTGCAAGTTAGTCTACTTCAGCGGAAGAAATCATTTTCAACTGTACGTACAGACCTCAAAATCACATAGAGTCGAATCTTTACCGTGTAGTCAACACTTCTCGGTGGACATTGATAGAATGTCTTGCCCCCCTACCCTTTCAGCAGCCAGGCAAAAGAAAGTGTCTCCGTGGTCTTTATGTTTTCACAAGGAAAATCAATAAGGGTTTGGAAAGAAGTATTTCTTCTCTCTCGTGCCGCTTTTCAGCTCGCCCTCACAAACAAACTACTTGCCTAAAACAGGCTAATGTCAAGAGGGGCAATGTAAAACATAACAGCTTACTGGACAGTTTCAGCCGCAGTGGTCCTTGCTTGGACGGAGAACAGGAATATGAACCATCCGGGATATCGCTTCGGTCAGACACCTCTTGCGACAGCGGCTGGAATTTTTTACCTGCCATTTTTCTACTGTTGCGATTGTTATTACTATGAAAGAATAAACAGCAGAACGTTGGAATATTTTTTTCGCCCTTAATAACACAAGCGTAATATAAGGAAAAGTTTATACTGAGATCTGTTGTGGAATCATTCTCTTCTGAACTCCAAGTGACAAATGTATGTTGGGGCGTTGTAGAACCAGAATATCGAAACTATCACAACAGCCAATCAGAACAGTGGAAAATATCACAGAGAGCCAATCAGGGCTCAAAATAAAATCCTTTAAGCAAACTGTCTAAAGCGCGGGAAAACTGAGTGGAAGACAAAAATTAAGCGGGAAAAGCGAGTGAGAAAAAAGCGTTTGGTTTTAATCTTGCATTTTGATTGGTTGAGGGTGTCGCGCGAGTTTTCTAGACAATTATAATGTTATCTCGGATTAATTACCACAGTTATATTACTCTCGAAAAAGAAAATAAAAAGAAGTCGGAGAAAAAAAAAACAAAAGCAACAACAACCAAACCTAGAGGCTGAATATTAAAGCTTGCTGTATTTAAAAAACTCACTTGATAATTTTTCCATTCGATACAACAAGCTTCAGCCCAGAGTCCACTGAGGCACCGAGCTGCGCTTTGTCGCCATTCGACTCCATTTCGCGTGCCAGTGGTTCCTGCGTTCGTGGAATCTTCAGCTTGAGCGAGGGAAGACTTGTTGAAAGTGGATCAGCTTTTCTTTTTAAATCTAATCCAGTGTTTGCTATTCTTATCACGGGTTTACTGTCATCCAGCTCACATTTTAAATATTCCCCGGCATTTTTCGAATTGCAGACATTGTAGTTCTCTGGTTTGGGAGCTTTGATTTTTAGGCGCGGCACAGACCCGTCAACCAACGGCGCAGCCACTGGACTCCCACTTCCCTGTTGACAGTTCTCGTCGATTTTAGGGGTTGAGGGCCTTGAAGTTTTTCCCGATTTCTGAAATCAAAGCAAAATTGTTTCATGATGTTAGCTTATAAACTCTTGCCTAAAATTTTCCCTGAGCACGATTCATCAGCCGGATGGCGCTCTCCAACTTTTAAACGTCCAAGGTCTCGAAGGTAACAATGGATTTTAAGAAATAAATAAAGACATAATAAGAAACTACATATATACAACATAGAATAAATGATACAAGTCCCCTTTGTGGCACATTTAGATTTGGTTAGGTAAAAGCCAAAATACCAGTATTGTAAATAGAGAACACAACGACCACTCGGATCAAAGCATGTCATCGCGAGGAGAACTCGACAACGCAATAAGTTTCAATTTTCTGACTTTTCAAAGCACGAGGTAAAAGAAAAAGAATGAAAGCCTGGATTGCTTCCGTTCCTCGGTGGAAAATTTCTCTAAACCCAAGTGAAGTAGACAAACCTCGGTCTTTTTAAGTTCTTTAACAATAGACTTGATGAGCTTGCTGGGCGATACACTGTCGGGAATGAAGAATTTGTGAAGCTTCGTGAACGCCTGTTAAATTGAAGACAAATTTAGCAGCATGACAACACGGTATTAAATAAGAAGATACGTTGTTGTTTTAGAGGTTTGCAACTTTCCGAACAGCCTAGTTATAAGCCTTTTCCTACATCTGGGTAGTTCGTAAGACCGCAAATTTCTAAAAAAAAAAAAATTCTTTCAAATCAGCACTAACAATCCTCATGGTATCAACAAACGCTTTTCATTCAACCAATTCATGCTTGTGTTTTCCACGTTGCCATGTTCCCACCAATAGCGCAGCTCCATTTCTCTGTATATAAACAACACACAACCCACAATTCCTCTATTCGTTCTGACGAAGGGCTCGAAACATCCGCTTTAGAAACTCCTAACGGTGGCCAATTTACATTATCAACTCAGTTGATAGAACCAAATTATCCTGTACTAGCGGAGCTCGCAGAGCGTAGCCCCATAATTAAACAAAATAGTAGTAACCCATCAAGCCGAAAAAATTTGGATGTACGACCGTGCAAGGTGCTACTTTTAACATGCGTGGCCAACTGTACCGCGGGCACGCCAACGCCACGGCTTTGTCCAGTAGTCCAGTGGTCAGTGCACTGGGCTCCGAGTCGGACGACCCGGGTTCTAGTCCTGGCCGGGGCCAGGCGTTGGGAAAAAAAAATGCGAGCTCCGCTTTTAGGCTTAGCTAAATCTATATATTAACCCTCTGACGCAGCACCACAGTTTCTTTAAAAACTTACCCCATTTAAACTAGCAGTGACTGCAGCCTTACCTCTCCTTTAGCGCTCCACTCCTTGAGTACTGCGACGAGGCTGTTTAAACTCTGTATTACACTGATGGGCGGTTTTCTGCCTGCTTCATGGACGGCTGTGCCACAAAACACAACAACAGAAAAGTAATTTGAAAGTGTAGTCGGATCGTCCAGGTGAAAGAAGTCACTGATGTTTAGACAACCTTGGCGTAAGTCATCATCAGAGTCGAGTGAAGAGTTATTAGTGAATCGAGTGATGTAAGTCCAGTTCAGTTTTGCCATAATGTAAGACTCGTGTAGCGTAAGTCGGTCAACACAGCGGTCGAACGCTGGGCATGCGCGAGGGGATCAATTTTTGGCGCCGTGCGTCAATTTCCCGCCTAAAAATTTTTGAGGAAAAGATAAGAAACAACCGCTGTTTCGCAAAATAAGCAAAAGTAATTGAAATGTTCCCAGAAATCTATAAAAGGAAACAAAACTCAAGACTTTCCGAACACAACTGAAGCTTAATCAAGCATAGGCATCCTGTTCATTTACCATTCTGCTTTAGTCTTTATTAATTGCTAATATGTGCATTTGGTAAACTTTTCGTGTTTCGCAATTACGTTATTTTCTGATAGTGTCGATAATGACATCTAACTGGTCGTAAGAGTGCTAAAAAACAAAACTGCACATAGAAATCCTTTCCTTACCTTTTATCTTATCGAGTAAATACACGGCAGCATACCAGTTTATCGTCTCAAAACACGGATGAAGGAATTTATCAGGAGTCTTGAGTTGTCTTTCAAGTTTATAAACCCTGAGAATATTCAAGAATATGCGCATCATCCCCAAGAAGCGATTAAAACGTAACTTCTCCCCATAATATCCATACATTATCAGGCAAACAGGTAATGAGAATACTAAAACGTATCAGGTTAAAGTTGTTATCTTGATCTAACACAAAATTCTTGTCCCTAATTTACATCAAAATGTGTAGCAGCTTGAGGGGAGAATTAAGAATTAGATCTTAGGAGTTAAGGGAGTTAACCAACAACTAAATGATTGACGTAAAATTCAGATTAGACAGATTATCCAGAAAACAGGCGACGAAAAGAGGCAGAGGATCAGTGGGAAGGTTTTACCGTGATATAACACCAAAGAAATGTAGAGAAGGTAAAAGGGAGAATTACTAGGTAGATCTTAAGCATTGGACTTACCTCAGCTGAAGTTCAGTGTTGTAAGTACAGAGAAAGTTCCCTCCAAACACCAGTGAATCAACTGGTGTAAATACTGCATGAACCCAGCCTGATATGATGAAAACATTTTGCTGGTAAACGTTATTCTCACCTCACATAAAGTGAACCAGAGGTTTCAATTGAAGCCGCCGATTTCCAGCGGTCTACCGCCGTCTGTTTAGCCTGCGAGCAGGCTTTAAGTTTTTGGGTTTTGCCTTACGGTACACCCGCCTATTACACCATTCTCAGCCGCTTATGGAGAAAGCTATTGAGACCACTGATCGACCACTCTAATGTGACACAATCTGCTGTGCTCTTGTGTTCTACATGTATTCTGTGCTCTAAATCTCGCTACTCAAAGCATGTACAATGTAGGCTGGCTGACTCTGAATGAGTTCGCATTTTAATTAAGTAACTAATGATAGTTCCTGAGAGAAAAAAACGAGGGAGCTGTTAGTGGAGTCAAGACCCGACCCAAACCTGCTTGCTGTTTTCCGCTCTGCCGTCACTATTGCGCCGTATGTTAACTTCGCCCCGTTTTAAAAACTGAACGCCTTTAACCCTTTAATTCCCAGACCAAATTTGCAATTCTCCTCACTGTCAACCACACAATCCCTATAATGTTAATTCAGAGAATTTAGTATTGGATCAACTAATTAGCCCCAAATTGATAGTGTTCTTTATTCTCATCACTTTTCTGGTTGATATTGTATTGATATTGTAAGGAGAACTTCTGTCTTGGTCTTTCATGGGAGTTAAGGGTTAACAGGCTGCTTCATTTCATACACACCTGTTGGGATAAACATGGTTTGGCCTGGTTTTACTGAACACTTGTAGCAGTTCTTCACCATATCACCAAAGAACACCTCGCTTTGCCGAGCAGAGGAAACCCATTTTTCATACTTGGTGAAATTTTCTTCATTGGGTTCAACAAAGTAAAACACTTTTTCACCCTGAATAAGGGAGAAATTTGTGTAATTAAAACAATATGCAAACTAATTTTATGTCAACATACCTGATATATGTCTATGTACCTGAATAATGATGTAACTTTAACATTTTCTCTTCCAAGATCTCATCAGTAATTCTCCTTACTGTCTGTCAATCAATTCTTTAATGTTAACTTGGAGAATTTGATATTGGATCAACTGGTAATCCCTTGATTGATATTTCTCTTTATTCTCATTACTTTTCTGTTTGATTTTGTATTGATATTGCAAGGAGAAAGTCTGCCTTGATCACTCTTGGGAGTTAAAGGGATAAGTTTTATTTTACAAGGATTGAGGAATGTAAAAAAAAAAAGAAACATTGTACTTTCTGTTATCATATCCTGCTGCTGTCTTTTGCAGTGAAACTAAACTCCATTCTTCGTTTCCTTCCTTTTTTCTTTAAATACAATTCTCATAAATGGATGTCATTTATCTTAATCATTTGGCTCATAAAATATTTAGATCAATCTCAGATCTAAACAACTGCACACCCAACCTTCCCCTAACTCAACAACAGGCAATTGATAACAAGTAAGGGTTAATGTTAGGTTGAGGGGGGGAGGGGGGGGGGGTTGAGGTACATAAAGCTGCACAGTTGCTTAGATATTGACAATGATCCAAATATTCCCCACCCGAGGCGTAATTATTTTCTTAAGCGCTTAAATTGAAGTTTGCCTCTCCATATGGCTTTCATGTTGCTTTTCCTTTTCTAGACATTTGCTGAGTTTTAGATAATTCTGAGTTTCCTCACAGCCATTTTTTGCAATTAATTTGCACAACAGATATTCACGTTTAACCTCACTGACCTTCAAAACATGATACCACACTGAGGTGCCTCCAAAGTCAACATGGAAATCTGTGTATGAGTTCTTCACACCCATTAAACAGTATTTCTGTACCAAAGGCTTCTTGTGTGGGCTGTTAAGGATAGTAAAAACAATTGAATCCTGTCATAGTTTCCCTCAGATACAAATTGTATTTCCTTGATTTAGTGTCCATGCTTTAATATGTGCCCTTCCCTCCCCTCCCCCAAATACTGGTAAGCATCCATCCCCTTGGTCATAATATCAAACAAATGCCCCCCTTGATTAAACACCCCTCTCCTCCCTCACTTTCTTAACCCTTTACACCCTAAGATCATTATGCATATTCTCCATACTGTTCTCTATACATTTCCTTAGTTCTACCAAGGAGAATTTGTAAAACCATCACAGAGCTTTGTTAGTTGCTGATCATTTCCTTCATTCCTGTGACTTCAACCTTTTATTCAGGGATGATATTGTAAGGAGAAATTAGAACCTTGTCACTCTTAAGGATTAAATGTGAAATAGTGGGGAAACATGGAAAACCTGTATCTATTGCCACTTTATTTATAACCTTTTAATCTTCAACTACAGTGGAATCAATACTGGAGAATGGTTTGTTAGAAAGCATCCCCGTGATCAAGCACCCTCCTTCCAATGAGTGCCCCTCCTTATAGCTAAAGTTCTAAATGAGCACCCAGGCACTTATTCAAGGAAATTCAGTCTGTGTATTAAATGGTCAATCTTCTAAAAGGCTAATGCTACAATCAGAATGCATATTCTTCACACTGTTCTTTAACCATTTTTTTTCCTAAGGTCCTGACAAGGAGATTTGTTTAACAATCAAAGTTTCTTACAGATGTAGGTTGGTGATCATTTCCTTTACTCTCGTGATCTTACTGAATGATTGAAAAGTAAATGTAAGGAGAAATTAGATGCTGGTCACTCAAAGGCTTAACCCTTTCACACCCAACATCTCATTATTAATTCTCCTTACTATCTGCAATATAATTCTTGCAATGTTAGTTCTGAGAATTTGGTACTGAATCAACAAGTAACCATCTAACTGATATTTTCTTTTTCTCATTGCTTGTCTGCCTGTTATTGTATTGATATTGTAAAGAGAAATTCTGTCCTGGTCGCTCATGGGAGTTGAAGGGTTAACAAATACTCCAGTAATTGATATTTTCTTTATTCTCATCACTTGGCTCCTTGATATTGTTTTGACACTTTAAGGAGAAATTCTTTCTTGGTCACTTATGAGACTTAACCCTACCTGTCATCAGGAAGATCTGTTGGCCACACATGACTGGCCCAATCAATATCTCGCACAATGGCTGGAGCATGAACAAGGGATGACAAACTGAAAGAGCCCAGAGTGACATCAGTATGGTAATATGATAATGGCAATAGTATATTATTATGTGCCAATCAATTTGAACCTTCAAACCCACTCTCCACCATACATTATTATGTGTTACTCAATTCAAACCTTCAAGCCCTTCAACTCCCAAACAACCCACTGTCGTCCATGCCCAGGGGATGGGGAATTTTTAAACCTTGCCTGGCTGAGGTAGTGCCAATCTTTCCTGGGAAATACAAGTGTTTAACACTTAAATAAGGACTGAGGTGTTGAAGGTAAAGTTTTTAATTTTGCAAGCAGATGGCTCAGAAGAAAAGGTCCAAAAGTTCTAGTTTTGCCTTTTTTTAAAAAAAAAAAACAAAACAAAACAATTATCAGATTTAGCACTTGGGTGGGGCATTTCAACACAATTTAGATATAATTGATTACTGGTGGAAAGGAAGGAATTGAACTGACTGCTGCATACATGTACATGTATTACACAGAAAAATTTCCATACCTTGTATTAGAGAACTCCAAACTAATAACATTCAAAATCTTTTTCTTGGTAGGACTAACGTAATACTCGGTCCATTCTCGCATGCGCATACGATGATCCTCCTGCAATTTGTTTTGGACAATTACACTTGTAAACTAGACCAACTGATTCGAGTGAATAAAGGGGGTAAATTTCTTAAGAAACCGAGGTCCTGCGTCAGTGGGAGAGTATAACAAGGTAATTTACCATTATCAACTGAGTTGAAAACTAAAATTGGTTTTGGGCATTAGCCCGTAGTTGAAACCTCAGCTTTGAAACTCTTTACAGTGGCCAATTTACATTATCAACTCAGTTGATAAGACTAAATTACAACTGATTCCAACACTTGTTTAATTAACCCTTCAACTCCCAAGATCTAATTAGTAATTCTCCGTATTGTCTGCCGTATAGTTCTTGTGATGTTAGTATTGAGAATTTGGAATTGGATCACCTAATTATCTCCTAATTGATATTTTTCTTTATTCTCATTACTTGTCTGCTTGACATTGTACTGATTGTGTAAGGAGAAATTCTGTCTTGGTCACTAGTGGGACTTAAAGGGTTAATAATGCCTCACTCCACTCTACATGATACAGAACAGCTACAGATTAGTTCTATTGTAATCTTCATTGCAAACTACAAATGTACCCCATTTTCCACCTCTCCTAAACAGATCTCTTGCGCAACATGCCAAAACTGCTAAAAATACATCACATTCTTTGGAATGAAGAACTTTTGGGTAGAAAAAGCGGCAAGTTAACAATGTAAAATTAATATATTGAAAAAAGGTATCATGTTACAAATGCATATCACATTGCTTTGCAGATTTATTGAATAACAAGCAGAAGCAGTAGATTTGCTAAAGATACACTGTAAACAAGCTCATACTAACAAGACAGATGAGTTGATGCTTGAGTGTATATGTGCCCAATTTAGATGTGCTTAGGTTATATTTACTTATGTTCACATTAATGTGCATTTTACATGTGTTTTTAGTCAACACATATCTGGGCGATACTGTACATTTGTAGGTATCATAACACATGTGTGGATGTGCACATTCATGATAATGAATTCATTCTGAGAAATTAAAGATATATGGGAAGTAATTGGCTTTTACCTGTCTGCAGACATCAATGACATCTAATTCCCTCATAGAACCTGCAACATATATGAATTACTGTTAGTCCAGTTTACTAAACACAAAAAGAAGATCTTGATTTTACTTGAAGAACAAGATCTTTAACCTTTTAACTCCTGGAAGTGATTGGCATGTACATGTAATTTCTATCTATAATGTTCATACATTACCCAGCAAACTGGTAATAAGAAAACTAAAACTTATTCAGAAGAAGTTGTGATCTAATACCAAATTCTCGTAACTGATTTATACAAGCTAGATAACAAATAATTCAACTTTTCTAACTACTAACGTACCAACATGTCTCTCAACATCCATGACAGTAAATTTTTTGTCCGGTATAACCATTCCCAAACCTTCTTTATTGGTAACAAGGATAGGCCTGTTAAAACCATGTGTCTCAAAAAACTCTGTAGACAGATCTGTGCCATTTTCAAACTTCAGAATAACATTATCCTCCCTAAACAGAAAGACAGAATTTGATAAATGTCCACATAATTGTTTGGTGCTCCTTCAGTTACAAACTTCATGCAGCTGTGTTTCTTTTCACCAACTCTATTTATGATGCAACAAATAACACAATTTTCTCTGACAGTGGGCCAGGATCTTAAGTCCTGGAATCTGATTGACTACTACCATGCCCAAAACTGTCCAGCTTCTAATAATATAGACTATAGTCTGTAATTTCTTCGGTGCCAATTGTGGCAATGAGGAAAAACCAACAAGCAAAACAAAAAAAAAGTAATTTACTGGTCTAGATTTATCTGTACGTGAAAAAAGTGTGCACATGGCCTTGAGTACAGCCCTCGGCAAAGACCTTTGCACAGTTTTTCCCCAAAACAGACATCCTGCTGAGGTAATGACATTTACAAAAGTACGTCAGAGGTACATTTTGTGAGATACAATTTAAAGTATTCAGGGTTTTAACCTTTAACCTTTACTCTTTCAGAGTGACTGGCTTCTAATTGCTCTTTACAGTATCACCCTTGAAACAAATATTTATATCAGGGTCATAAGAATAAAGGCAATGATTTCCAATTTCAGAAGGTCCTGTTCGTCAATGACACTCTCCTTGTCAGTATCATAGGAAGTGTAAAGAGAACAGTATGGAGAATAAGGAGACTGATCGTCTAGTGTAAAATTTAAAAAATCCAGTAGCAGGAGAAAAGTACAAGTAAAATTTAGCCCTTTACACCCTAACATTAACATGCATATTCTGCATACTGTTCATCATACAATTCTTAAGGTGCTGACAAGGAGAATTTGTTTAACAATCAATATATTCTTTAGTTGGTGATCAATTCCTTTATTCTTATGACCTTCATGTGTAAGTCAGGGAAGCTGTTGCAAGAAGAAATTAGATGTTAATCATTCTTAGGGGTGAAAGGATTAACAGAACAATAATCTGCACATAACAGGCCATCAATTCTGTGCAGTCACACTGCAATCTTCCCACATCTGATGGCTAATAATCATCCTGAATATTACCAGAAAAATAAAATAGCTGATATTAGAGAAAAGACACACTGACTGTGATGGGAATAAGAAAACTTCTATACTCACTTGAATTTTCTGGTTTTTAGCTCCTTGATAAATGCAACTGTCCCTGCTTGGATGGCCTAGATGAAACAAAAAGCCAACTTGTCACCAAAAAAAAAACTAATGCATACAAAGACATAAGTCACCTAATAAGATATAAATCAATCATGCAGATTTAGTTCATGTATGTACAGTTAAGTCCTGATAACAAGAACTCTTGCTAACTCAAACCAAAATTGATGTCACCTGGATTTCCGTCATACAATTATTGCAATTTTACCCTCAGTATCTTGAACCCTTGATAACTCAAACCACCTACTAACTCAAAGCAATTTTCGTTTCCCTACAAGTCATTTTCAAAAAATTTTTACTCCCGCTAACTTGAACCATGTCAAAACATGTCTGTCGATACAAGACAATCAGAACGAACAGTGTACTGCAGTTAAAAACATTTATGGTACATAGTAATTTCTGCACTAATTTGGTGTTCCATTTTCACTCAACTTCTCTATGATTAAATTTGAGTAAAACACATATGCTGTATGAACAGAGAAATGAGCAAACACCATTTTTGCCTTATTTCTGGTCCTTTATTTTCCAGCTCTAGATAACTTAAACCTTTTTCAATTTCCCTTGAAGGTTTGAGTCATTGAGATTCGACTTTACTGACATTCCACAACCTTAACAGAAGTGATAAAAAAATTAAAGTTTCCCAAATATTATTGCCCAGAAATAACATTTTTACCTTTGACCCATCATCTATTTCACTATAGTCATGACGATGCCAATTGCGTCTTTTCTTCACTGAAAGCAAGAAAAGCACAAGTCAGTAAATGGTTTGAACTTTGAGGTAACATTTGATCATGCAGTGTGATAGTTCATGTGAGGATAGGCCCAAGAGGAACTGTTGTTACTTGAGGTGACTGACATTTCCATGACCTTGGCGGAAGCCAACATAAGAGACGAGTTTTTGACAACAACTGTTCAGACAACCCTAATCATAATGATTTCTGCTAAGGTTGTCAGAGGTAAGTCACCACTTCCCCGACAGTCCCAAGTTAAAGAAATAAATATGAAGTAGACAGGTGAGGCACTGCTGAGAAAGGTATTAATTTGGACAAGAGTAATCAGAAATAGTTTAAAGAAGAAAATAAAGCCAAAATAAAAGTAGTAATATTAATTACAAGTTCACCGCTATGTAGCTAAAAATCGTTAACCATAGTTTTTACCGCACGTGTTGGATAGTAAAATAAAAAATTAATCATACAATTTAAAGCGGAAGGAATCCAAATATAATTCGCTATGAAAAGATTAAAAAATTGCGAGGAGGATTTGATGGTTTAACCCGCATGGTTTGTACAGCTTTCGCGAGACTTCAATTCATTGTTTACCATTTCAAACAACTTTGATTCAATACACAAACGCTTAAGTTTTGAAACTTCAGCATCCAAAATTACAGAAATTACAGATATCAGCATTTGAAGTAATCCTTGAGATTGGATAGAAAAGTCTCAGAAACCTTCGAACATAAACTGACTTGTGTTGCATTTACATTAATATCCTTTTTATTACTTCTGATTCTTTCACTCAAACAGGTGATCTCATTGACGGCAGTAAGCTGCGATCTGCACGTTCAATTTTGTCTCAGGATATGATTCGCTTTCTCTTAATCGAGATCAACTCTGTAAGCGGCACATTAACCGAGGAAAATCTACCGGATTTAAAATCTTTTTTTGACATTACGGGAAAAAAAAACCAACGGACATTTTTTCCAAAACAGTTTGGGAGAAGAGTGAGCACCGGAAAACCTTCCTACGTATTGCTTTAACCGATCGAAGTTACCCTTCCAAAGTATTTCACGCGCTGAAAAAAAACACTGCTGACTTTGGGCATTCTTATACCTTTTATTCAGTCATAAAGATAGTAAAGATGTCATTTACTTACGGGTTAGTGGCCCGTGTAGTAACGCACAATCCGGGCAGTGGTACCGCTCGATGTCTGAAGCTTGATGCTCTTCAATACCAACACAACTAAAAAAAAGGCAGTTTAACGATTATTTTAGAGCGAAAGAACAACTAGCCGCTCAGGAACAGAGATACCGACCTTCCGTGATACCATTCTTCGCAAGAATCGCACTGGATCATAAACTGAGTCGGGTCGTACGGTTGTCTACATACACAATACAAAGGGTCCGCCATGTTGTTTCTCTTTGACACGATATGACGTCATGATCAGAGTGGCCTCGCTTGTGTTCGAAGACTTCTTAGTCTCTATGGAAGCGACCGCTCAGTTAGGAACAGTACTTGAGTAGATTTGAAAATATGGTCTGAATAAAATTCAGGCCTGTGCGGGATTTAAACCCATGACCTCTGCGATACCAGTGCAGTGCTCTACCAACTGAGCTAGCAAAAAAACTGGGAGCTGGTTATTATGTTGGTTCCACCACAGACACTCTCTGCTGAAGGACACTCGCGTACTTACAGTCACTTTTTTTGCGATTCGCCTTTTTGCCTCCTTGTCAAACTATGTATTCACACATTCCTGTGGATGCTCTCTCGGAAGCAGACACAAACACTTTTAAAAGTGAAAATTGGATTTTTCATTTGTTTACGCTCGCCTGCGTGCGGACACTGTTCACAATGTACCTTTTTGCCAATGGAATGTTTTTAAGAAGCACCAAAGTTACCTGTTTGGAAGGTAGCAATATAAAAGAGTTATACTGTATACTTCTTTTCATTTTTTTCTTCTTTTTTTTTTTCGAGTTTCAACATTGACGACAATAAAGAGTTTCAGTTGCTATTTTTGGATACTCAATAAGACATGTAATTAACACCCGCTAATTGACTCCCCTGTAAATGGACATGCAACCTATTTTTCTGTGGTGTCCACTTTTGAGAATATATCTTTTCGGCAGACATTTCTACCAACGGACATTTTTTCCAATTCCCGAGGATTTTCGCTTACGAGAGAGTTGACTGTATTTGAATTTGATGTCTTGTGTCACTCGGCGCTGCCTCCACCAACTACTGCGCTCGACGTTAGGAGAACGCGTACTATTCGTGTCGCTTCTGTCTGGATACTATGCAATTTCAGGATTTGGGAGGCATCTTGGACCAGCTGACAATTCGCCTCGATATCATGCGATAGCTTTGAATCCCACTGCTTAATTCAAGTCCCACAGGTTGATCTCGCTTCGGTCTGGATGCCATCCGATTTAACCTTAAACTCCCACAAGTGATCAACATGCAAAATCTCCCTTTTCATACAATATCCAGAAAACAGATAATGGCAAGCTAATCAGTTAAAAGTTGTTCTCTTAATTTAACACCAAATTCTTGTAACTAATTTAAAAGGAAATGTGAAGTAGCTACAGGGGAGAATAAACGATCAGATCTTGGGATTTAAAGAATGAAGGTTGAGACAGCGGTCAAACTGCGGGTATGCGGGAGGGGATCAATTCTGGCTTGCTGCGCGCAAAATTTCAAAGGAAAACATAAGAAACAACCACTTTCGCGGAAAAGTTGCGAAATAATATAAGAACGTTCATAGGAATCTGTGTAAGGAAACAAAAGTGGGGAAAAGGGAAACTCCCAGACTTTTCGAAGCTTCTTAGGCTATCCTGTCGATTTGCCATTCTTTTTTGAGCTTTACCAAACAAGTTCCACGCTTGTTAAAATCCCTGACTTACTGGCTTGTCTTTGTTTGTAACTTGTGTGAGAAAACCTGGTTCTGACAGCCTGAAAGCAAGTGATCTGGTCATTAAAATGTTCACATATGCGTGGACTTTGACTGCTGTGCTATCCTGGATTAGCTGACCACTCGCCTCGATTCCATGAGAGGGACTCGTTTCCATGTGATAGCCAACTACGTGGACAATCCCTTAAATAGAAAATAATTCTTTCAAAAAGACTACAAAGTTATGCAAGTTTCTTGTTGAATTGAAACTAGTGAACTTCTGTAAGACACAATATAACCGTCTGTTAATTTTAATCTACCATTCGTTTTGGCCATCACCATCGAATAAAGTCCATTAAAAGATGTTAAATTATCGAAGCTTACTTAGTAAATTTTACTATCAATGAGTTGATAATACCAAATTAATCTATTTAACTCTCCCACCGACGCCGCACCACAGTTTCTTAGGAAAGTTACCTGTTTTTATCGAACCTTATTGCTGTGTTCGGCTTTGACACTGCCTGAAAGCACCCCACAAGTTAAATTTCCCTGAATATTTCTGGGCAATATAATACAATTACTGAATATCATTTTACCAGAGACCGAACGTACTTTTCCAATCCATGATTACTACCAGTTTGCTAAAAGAAAATTTTATGATTGATTCTTTGTCTCAATTTCGTCAACGTTTGGCACTGCAAACTGACTTATTAAAAAAAAAAAAGATCTTGAAGTCTTTGAGATTCCGTTATGGTTACTTGAATTTGGTTGAAATCACAAGCTCTGTAACTCACGCCTCTCGAGACCTCTCGAGGTCTCCTCGCCTATTAACGCTGTAAATAAATTTTTGTATCGTGTAAATAAGGTAAATAAAGATGATAATGATGATAATGATGAAGAAGTATGCATTGTACAAATTTTTTTCCTTTACGAGGAAACAGAATGCAACCCAATGAAGATACTACAATCGCTGGAAAAAAGATATTAAAAGAGTACATGTTTTTTTTTCGTTTTTTTCGCAAGGTAAATTTCAATCCACTGTAACTAATTTTCTGACTTCCTTTGATTCTATTTCAGCCAACAAGCTTGGCAAACCATTCAGCATTCTTGATGGTTTGAAGCCAGGGTTGTTAAAAAACTTACGACATCAAACCACCGAGAGTGACATCACATATTTCGGTGACTTTATCCAGGTGACCTACCATCCAGATGAAAAGGATTTGATCAAACAATTCTTCGCCATTTGGCGTTTTGAGGACGAGATCCGTGACGCGGCAGCATTTACCTATCAACCGAGGTCAACTAACATGGATTCCTATGCCCAACTCCTTGGGATAACTCCTAGCAACATGGTGGGGAAATCTTACGTTCTGGCACGTTATTGGAAAAGAATAAGCACTACCATCATCACCAATTCAGAATTTTCAAATCTTGACTCAACCTCCGTTTCCTCAGATGCGACAAGTGACGAAATAACAGCTCTTTTTTCAAAATACGGTACACATTACGTTTCCGGTTATGAGATGGGAGACTTTATTTACCAAGTATTTGTGTACGACCAAGAAATCGGTTCCGAGAAAGTCCGTAAATTCTTTCCCTTCGAAGATACTTCATTCAGCTTTGGTCCCAGAGGTTACTCTTTCCGCCCGTTTACCCAGCCAAGAGATGGCGAACAGGGGTATACTCTTGAAGCAGGAAAGATTTTGGCGGCGAGCGGTGATATGGCTTTGAAGAATATCCTACCGAAACTGAAGGACGATGTCTACAAAGTGAAGGAGAGCATCTTTATGTTTTTAGTAACACAAAAAAAGATCTTGAAGTCTTTGAGATTCCGTTATGGTTACTTGAATTTGGTTGAAATCACAAGCTCTGTAACTCACGCCTCTCTTTCACGCCTCTCTCTCTAAAATTGTTTTTCTTCTAGCTTTTACTGATGATAATCTAGCGTTTCCACATCATCCGATTGTGAAAATGTAGGTTTATTAGAAAAAAACAAAGAGCCAGGTGCCAGACGGGAATTTACAGGCGAGTGATTGAAGGGGGTAAGTGGTACTATACTGGTGGAGGTCTTGCAAGAAAGCTGAATAAAGGGCGTAACTTGCTGCGTGGGTGGAAGAGCATAGCAGGTTAATTTAGTTTTTTTTAACTGAGTTGATAATGTAAATTGGCCACCGTAAAGAGTTTCAAAGCTGACGTTTCGGGTGTTAGCCCTTCATCAGAGCGAAAGAAATTTCAACTTTGAAACAGTTAACGGTGGCCAATTTACGTTATCAACACAGTTAAAAGAAACTAAATTAACCTGCTATGCTCTTCCACCCACGCAGCAAGTTACGCCCTTTATTCAGCTTTCTTTCCCCGTATTTAGAGCGTTAACCCTTCGTCCGAGCCAATAGTAGAATACGAGACGTCAGCTTCAGAAACTCGCTATGGCAGCTAATTTACGTCGGTTGATAAAACCAAACTTCAGGAAATACGAGCGATAAGTACTCTGATTTCATTATTTGTCACTGGGGACAAGACAAATATGAGATTATTCTAGTTTCAAGACAGTTATTCAAGTTATCTTTCTCTACGTGCTTGATATTAAAATTTGATTGACAACTGTTAGCAAACTAATCATGAAACCATCAAACTCGTTTGAGGTTGTGAAATCCAAGGTGACTACGGTCAGCAAATTAAGTCTCCAATACTCTCTTCTTTTGGCGCGGTGAGATGTCAAAAAAGTTACAGCCAACTAAAGCTTTGAAAGATACAGTACTTAATTTTTGGGCCTATTTCCCATAAGCCTGGCTCAATTTTTTAAAATTGTTATCTGGAAGAGTTCGCAATTCCAACAGAACATTAGTGAAGACCTGTTATGGGTCTCTTCAAGAGCATCTTTTCAGACCATCAAAGTTCATTTTTTATTTATTCTGTGGAAATATGTCAAACGAAGGGGGAGAGTGAAAAGGCGGAATCTTATAATCAATACCAATCTTGTCTGTTGTGATGGTATATGAAACAGAATTCCTATTTCGGTTCCCTCTTTTTTTTTCAAACCTTTTTTTTTTTTTACGATAAGCTCAAACAGAAAATAGTACTCAGAGATAGGTGGATGTACTGTATGCAAAATATTCGTCGACATATTTGCAGGGGTGAGTGACAGGAAACCACTGACTGGTCTAAAGACGATACAAAATCACAAAGTTTCGATTATTCCATATTGTACAATTGCAATTGTAGTGGTTAAAATTGAAGTAGAACACCGATTTCTCGAGCCCACGGTATCTCGAAACTTTCAATGATTTCAACCATAACAGTCTCATCGATATTTATAATTCATTTGTCAACTTTATCTCGTGAATCACGACTCTTTAGTTTTTAACAAGAAAAATTCAAGATTCCTTCTAATTTAACCGCTCTGATTCATGATTCATGATTCCGCTTCCTCCCCCGAAAAACTGGCCTCCCTCGCTCAGAACTGTAGATCTGTAAATCTGATTCAAACCAATTTCCTTTTGTCCAGAATAGCCGTAACATCGTGCGAAACGCGACG